CCGGGACGTTCTACTCACCATGAGGTGACCACTTAGCCCAGTTTTCTGGGGACCTTCCCAGCTTCCACCTTTAGAGTCCCACATCCTGAGAAATACCCTCGTTCCCGGACCAACCTGAGTTACTGCCTCCCAGTCAGACCCGGTGTTCCTGCCTCTGTTCCTTCGCCTACGCGGGTTTCTCCTGAGAATGGGCTGTTGCCTTGTCACTGCCTCAAATTCCTCCTGGGACCTACACGGGCCCTTACACCCAATAGGCACAAGGAATGATTAGGCGGTTGATGTATACATAAATGTTGGTACCTCTTTAAAAAAAAAAAACATAAACAAAACTGGGTCTTGCTGTGTTGCCCAGCCTAAAGTGCCATCAGGGGATCAGAGCTCACTGTAACCTCAAACTCCTGGGCTCAGGCAATCCTCCCACCTCCCAAGTAGCTGGTGCATGCCACCACACCCAGCTAATTTGTTCTTATTTTTTGTAGAGACTAGGCCTCGCCATGTTGCCCAGGCTGGTCTCCAACTCCAGGCTCAAGTGATTCTCTGACCTCGACCTCCCAAAGCACAGGGATGACAGGCGTGAGCCACCGTGCCAGGCCGGTCCCTCTTATTCTAGAGACAGCACTGACGCACGGATCACTGGAATGACTGATGCAGGGTCCATATGCCAGCACTGAGATTGGAATTGAGGCCCAGCCTCATGTCTTCCATGGAACATTCTCAGACTCCTTGGTTGTAAAAGGTCTCACAGTGCCCCCTAGCGGTGGTGACAGGAAGCAGCCCCGGTTCAGACAGTCCAAGGCAGGGGTCCTGTCTTTATCCAGTGCAAGTCCTCATATGTTGTCCGACAATAAGGTTCGCGAACTCGTCCTAGAAAAAGTGCCGCCAACCTCACCGCTGAATCTCACGACGGTCGCCTTTGAAGTCTTCCCCTTGGCAAGCTATGCACTAATCCCCCCTTCAGAGCCACGTTGGAACTCTTTTTCTGGAATGGCCATCACAGCCGTCGTATGATCCTTGATGTCCTGAGTGTCATCAGATGTCTTCCTTTCCATATCTCCTTTGTCTTCAGGTAAAGAAAAAAGCCATTGGGGGCCAGATCAGGCGAGGAGGGAGGGTGTTCCCATATGGTTATGTGTACAGGGCTGCCCATGTAACCACATGGTGGCAGGTTCACGACTTAAAGGTCAGACCTCAACAAGTAACGACGACGGCTCTGATGGCCATTCCAGAAAAAGAGTTCCAACATGGCTTTGGCGGGTAGACTAGGCGCGGGCAATGATGCATAGCTTCCCAAGGGGAGGACTTGGAAGGAGACCGTCATGATATTCAGCAATGAGGGATAGAGCACTTTTTCTAGGATGGTTTGCGAACCTGTCAGACCCCTTAAGACTGTTATTACACCTTAGTAGGCAGTCAGTCAATGTCTGTGACCTGGACGTGGCTATTTGATCAAATTGTCTTGTTCACTTCAGGATTCTGAGATGTGGAAACAACCAAATTCCCATCCCTTCCAGAGCTAGGTGAGCGTAGACAGTGACACCAGAGGTTGGGCTTCTTTGGAACTGGCTAGGGCCTTCACATCCTGTCTCAGTACGGAGTCATTTAAGCCTGTGCTTACAGGACCCATTCAGATCCAACACATAGCTTCTCGAGTCCCTAATTTCTTCACTAGAATATTAAACCAGGCCAGGTGTGGTGGCTCATGCCTATAATCCCAGCACTTTGGGAGACCGAGACAGGAGGATCATTTGAGCCTGGGAGTTGCCTTGGCAACAGAGCGAGACCTCTTCTCTACAAAAAAATTTAAAAATTAGCTGGGTGTTGTAGCACGTGCCTGTAGTCCCAGTTACTCGGGAGGCTTAGGCGGGAGTTAGAGGTTGCAGTGAGCTGTGAGGACAGCAGTCTGGAGGACGGAGTGAGACCCTGACTCAAAGCAAAACAAAACAAAAAAAGGACATGAAGACCAGGCGTGGTGGCTCAGCCTGTCATCTCAGCACTTTGGGAAGCGGAGGCAAGAGGACTGCCTGAGCCCTGGGATTCGAGACCAGCCTGAGCAACTTGGCGAGACCTCATCTCTACAATAAATCACAAAAACTAGCTGGGCATAGTAGCGTGCCTCTGTAGTTCCAGCTACTTGGAAGGCTGAGGCGGAAGGATTGTCTAAGCCCAGCAGGTCGAGGCTGCAGTGGCCGTAAGCCTGCCACTGCACTCCAGCCTGAGCGACAAGAGTGAGACTCTAACTCAAAAAAAAAAAAAGTAAATAAAGAGGACGTTAAGCTGCAGAGGACACGTGGCCCCCGCCAGTCTTCTGTTAATGGAATTGGTTGAAGTCAGTGTGGCCTCCCTCGTCCTCGACGGAATCAGCCCTTGAACTGGGGTTGTCCCTGGCATGACGGAGGGCAGATTAAAAAGTGATCCCAGCCGGGCTTGGTGGCTCAGCCTGTAATCCCGTGCCCTTGGGAGGCTGAGGTGAGTGGATTGCCTGAGCCCGCGGGTTCGAGACCCACCTGGGCAGCGAGACCTCATCTCTACAATAAATCAAAAAATCAGCCGGGTGTGGTAGCGCACGCCTATAATTCTGGCTACTTGGAAGGCTGAGGCGGAAGGATCGCCGGAGCCTAGCGGGTCGAGGCTGCGGTGGCCGGGAGCGGCCACTGCACTCCAGTCTGGGCAACCGAGTGAGACTCAAACTCAAAAAAAAAAAAAAAGAAAAGAAAAGAAAAGAAAAGGTGATCCCAGGCAGGAGGTGGGTGGGGAGCCCTGAGACTCCATTCTCCGCAGGAGACCAGGCTCTGTTCTGAGAACTGTGAGCCACGCTGGGATCCAGCCACGCTGGGATCCAGCCACGCTGGGATCCAGCCACGCTGGGATCGAGCCGCAGGTCTCTGGACAGCTTTTCTCTCCCGCCTTTGCGTTGGAGGCCATGGCCTGGCTGGTGTCTAAAGATGGCTGGGGTTTGATGTCCGTAAGGGGTGTGAGGCCCCGGAACAGAGGCAGGTGCCTGGGCGGAGGCCCCGGCTGGCCTCTTTCTGCTTGTCCCTCTGTCGAGTGCTGCGGAGAAGGGCGTCGGCGTTGGGAAGGCGGCTGCGGGACCCGGACCCAAGGCCTCGCCTGCGCGAGAGGCCACCCGGCTGTCTGAAATGCGTCGGCCCCTGGACCGTTGCGGTGGGGGGGGCCTCAGCAGCAGGGTGTCCTGGGGCCGGACGAGGCCGGAACGCTGACGGAGCGGGGGCTGATGGTGACCGTCGTCCGCTGCCGTCCACGCCACCGGTGCTTGCGGACGGGGATGGGATGGC